TCACAAAGCAAAAAACCTAGGTCACAGCCACTTCCAAGTAACCTCAGTTGGCAACATGGACCTCCTCTGAAGAGCAATGACATGCTTCAGATGGTATCTTTTTTTACTCTGCAAGTATCAGAATGGTTAAAGCTGAAGTCTGTTTCTCATATTACTAGAAAAAATTACTAAACAAATAATTTTCTTTCCACTAAGAAGTGCTGCACCTATAATTTTGGATCTATATTGTGTACTAGCCATAAGCATTGATGAAACAGCTGAAATACTAACAATGGGCAAGGAATTTTAAACATCTGTCCCATTACATAGAAAAAATGTCTGAACATCCCAAGATTTCTGTGAAAGTCTCATCCAAGATGGGGCAGGGATCTACAGCTCCTACTTGTTCAGAACCAAAAAGCAAGTTGTTGGATTACCAAGAGCTCTGGAAATGTTTTTATATATATAGTGTGGGTTATGTTTGTGGGAAACTGAAATCTGAAAGTCCCTGACATGCAGTTAAGATGCTGAGAGAGAAGGACAAGAGTGAGGCCTTAGAATACCGGGGAAATTAAGAGCCATGGCAGAAGATAATGACAGTGAAGTTTAGGAGGTACAGAACAGCCAGGGAAATTCTGGAGGTTGAAGTAGTCTGGGTAAGAGATGTGGCCATGAACAGAACAGAACTATATTAATTGATGAGGGCAGGACTGAGAATTGAATGTTGCCAGAAGCATGACACAGGTAAAGACAACTCATTCCACACATCCAGCTTAAAATTAGTCAGGGTTGCTTACTCCTCATTTCAGAAGAGAGAACCTAAGTTTGATCCAAATCCACCAAAGGCCCAGTCCCTGCTATATGCTGCAGTGCAAGTGCCTCTTTGCCTCTTCACCCCTCCATCTACCGGCCACCCTAACACGGACCCACGGCACAGCACTCTGCCTTGCTTTCCCTGTTAGACCTTCCGTATCCTCTGACGGCTGCGGGAGCTGACCCGGGGTGAGAGGAGCTGGGCCCCAGGGGCACCGGGCAAGACAGCGGGCACGCTGCCGTGGCCACGGGGCTCAGCAGCGTGTGGGGCGTGCGAAGGCCCGAAGGGCACAGGCTGTCCCAGCCAGCCCTCACCTCACTTCCAGCGCGGCCTCCTCGGCCAAGGAGCAGCGACGGCCCCCCGGGGCC